ACACTTTCCATCATTTACGAGCATGTTAAAGAATACAAAAATACATATATATAATGTATCATCAATTAATTCATTTCATATCAGAAAGTAAAAAAGCTTATACTCTTATTGATCTCAATTGAAGAATATAATATATATATATATATATATATATTTAGAAAATAGTAGTGTGTAATTTAATGAAACAAAATAAATAGCAATCTGGCTAATCCCAACAAGATGTGAATGACATTTAATTTTTTATTAAGTTTTTTATTCGAAATTAATTATAAAATGATTTTATATTGCATCATATATAAACTCTTCCAATAACATTTTCAAAAGAAACAGATAGCATTTAATTTTAGCAATACAAAATATAAATATTGTAGTTTGTAGGACAGCCAAACAATTCATGAATCATTGTTGTTGGTATTTGGTGTAGAAAATGATTGAGAAAAAACAAGTAACTCTTGTCTCACATTGGATGATGAGACAAATCTCTCATTCCATTAAAAGATAAATTGGATTGGATGGAATTAGCTCTTGACATAGGCTCTTGATTGGGCTAATATATATATATATATATATATAGTTAATATTGGGCTTTGGAGCTGTGGGGGCTCGTGGGTCAGGCTCAATTGCAATTAATTCAATTTTTTATTTATTTTATCTAATATTGTTTTGATTGATTCAAAACAAGTTTGAATTAATCAGATAAAATAAAATAACGTGCGTGATGGGATCGGTTTTTGTGGGATCAGTTTCTCACGTTACACCAATAAATAAAAACTCTACATTAAATTTTCAAATATATATAGGAAAAAGTGCTCTAAAAAAGTTTTACATTTTTTTTTCTCTCGCAAAGTGCTCTCCAAAGGTTTTATTCTGCAATCAAAACTCTTCCAAATTTTTCGATTCTCCTAATTCGGTTCGCGGGATCTGCAATTCCGTTAGATTCGTTTTATCCTGGGAAGCTATCAGTGACATCCGAATTCGCTTCAAGGAAATCACGTACTATGCGAAGCTCGAATACGATTTCGATTCTCTGTTGTCAGATCTGTGATTAATTTGTTTACGTCTTATCTCAGATTCGTTAAACGAGTTCTAACAATTGCTTTACGCAAAATCTATACATATATTGAGATGTTTCAAAATAATTTTTACCAACATATAGAATACTTTGCAATTTTCAAAATACATTAAAAGAAAATATTTTCTTGAATAGTTTTTACAATATTTTTTAAAAAAATCATAAAATTCTACAAAATTTAAGTTATAGAAAAGGTAATAATTTTCAGTAGATTTGAAAAATCACAATTTTATTTAATTTAATTTAATTATATAAATTAACAAGCATCTTTATATCAAAATTTTAGGAAAGATTAAATATTTATTTATATTTCAATTTTATTGCCCTTAATTTATGAAGAACTTAACCAATTACATTAAAATTTTTAAGCATTAATTAGGTTTTCTAATGCCATTTTTAACCCAACAACTTCATTCTTAACTTCAGAGTTGCTTCCAACTCACAATTCTATTTTCTACTCCAAACAAAATATTATTCAAATATTTTATTTTATATATTATTAAACAATTTTATATATTTATAATTTACACCCAAATTTTATTATTATTTACATAATTAGTTACTATTACTTAATAATATATTTTTATATAAATAAATAATAATTTTTTTTATTAATATTTTTTTTACAAGTTAAATAAAAACAAAATATTATATTATTTTCCGTTGTTATACTTGTATATAATATATTATTTTGTTTAAATCAAAATGTTAAATTAGATGTTTATTTTGTATAATTAAATTTTTACTTTTATGTATATTTACAAGATCTTTTTTTTTTAAAAAAAAAAATTATTTCGAGTTTATTATAAATATTTAATTATTTATTGTAAATTTTAAATATTATAAACTTTAATCACTACAAAACACAAAAACTACATATATATATATATATACATACACAAATGCATCAAATTTCAAATAAGTCCCTACACAATTAAAATAGGACTGAAATATAATTTCTACAAAATTAAAAAAAAAACTAAAAAAATTTGGCGTTGCTATTGCACTGTAGCAACACCTCCACTTATAGTGTGGATTGGAGGAAAAAATGGGCATTGGACTCCAAAAGTGACGTCGGTTTGAGTTGTTCTAAATAACTCAAATTTATTAATTTTCTCATGATTATAAATCCAATAAACTGAATAAAATAGTTATCTGACTTATAGGGGAAAAAAAAATGATAAATTATATCATGTGCACAATGGCTTATATCATTTTGACATATTATATAAAACATATTAGTTAATTGCACACGATATATTGTATAACAATGATTATTACTTGCTTGTCTAGATAACCACAATTAGATGTATGTATTTTTTTAAGCCCCATTAATATGTATAAATTTTATTGTCAGTATGCACTTAGCCGAGGGTTTGAAAAATCACTCAGAACTATCTACTTTAAATATTCAATTTTTTCAAATGATTCGTTCCCAATGCTCAAGTCCCGCATACCGATAATACTTGTGATTATAGTCTCTTATTCTTTTTACCGTTTCTCTCTAGTCAGGATACTCAAGTTTATCAGTTCTATCATTTATATATTCCAATAAAATGGAAAAATATAATGCAAACAACGTCACATTCTAGATACTAGTTCTGGTTGTGCCCTTCTGCTCCCAAATGTCTTGATTCCTTTTATAGCCAAACATCATTGATTGTTGTTTACACTGCTAATAGATTACCATCATTTGTTCTCTATGATTTTAGTCCATTTGAGTGATTATACCACAAGTCCCTAATTATGTGTTTTGTTATCTTCCCTTCTCGTGAACGGACAAAGCTACAATTTAGAACTCGTTTATGTTATTTTTTTAGAATATATACAAAGGTTTTAAGTGTTGAGATTCTATTTATATTATGTTATGTATCTCATGGCATGTCACGTTTTTTAAACACACTCCTTTATCTACCTTATCGAAATTTAGAACACTATTTAACTATCTTCTTAATTCTTTTCCTTTATTCCCTATGATTCTTTTCCCGTCATTTCTACCTCTTATACACCACAACTCAATGATATGTCGGCTTTGATACCATCTCCTAAATGTAGGGATGACAATAGGTCTGAATAGATCCAAAATCAACCAATTTAAATCCGACCTATTTATTTGAAGTTGGATCCAATTATTCGAGCATCGAATTTGATATGAGTCTTTAATATTTTTTTTAGGGTCAAATCGGATCTAGAGTTTAAAAATAGATTCTAGCCGACCCGGATCCAAACTCGAACTCAAATCGATTAAATAAAATAATAAAATTTCAATATTTTTCTCTATTTGAAAGTATTGGTTCACCTTTGAACTATAGTCCGAGTATGATTGCAGATTGCTAATTAGTCCGAGAGAAAACTAATTGGTTTTATTGTGGTCATTTTGTATTACAATCAAAGATTTAATGTAGTTAATGTGTACTTTTAATTTTTTTACGATGAATGAACAAAATACAAATGCATTTTAGTGATTTCATTATATGTAAGGATTGAGATATATTTTTATATTTGAATTATTACTATTATTGTTGTTGTTGGTGGTGTTGTTATTTTTTATTTTGATAACGTGCACTACAAGAAAAATGATATTTTTTTGTCTCTAAATTTACTTTTTCCGTTACTAATGACATTAGAGATGTAATTATGAATGAAATTACGTTAGCTACGTGAACTTTAGGGACGGAATTCCGTTACAAATATATTATTTTTTTGTAGTGGTGGGAACTCGAAGCCGCTATCTTTCGAGTACGCTCTAATAAACTTCCGGCCGAACTTAGTAGCATGCAAACTAGGCCCGACGCAAGTCATACTAGACGAACCATGTGTGGCAGACAAAACCCAGAGCCATTGGATTTTGAACACATGACTTCATGGTCACAAGTCTATCCCCACACCACCAGACCATCCGTTACGGAACTTCTTGTTGTTGGCGGTGGTGGCGGCGGCGGAGGCGGTGACATGACTGAAGGTTTATATTTATTGTATATTTTTTTAATTTAATTTTTTTAGTTAGATCATGTCCGGGTTAAGATTGTGTTTAAATCTTTTGGGTCTATGGGTACATCAAGGGTAGAATTTGAGTACATTCGGGTCCGAGTCCAACTAAACCCGACCCTTACCTTACCTATTGTCATATATCCTTAATCAAATTCCTTGATTTAAGCATAATATAATTAGGCTCATTTGAATTGGCTTTTTAAAAGGATTTCCGGCTTCTAAATCTAAAAACAACACTTTAAATATATATATATATATATGTTTATATTGACTTCTGTCCTGACAACTTTTAAAAATAAAAATTTATTGTTTTTGGAAGTACTTTTAAATTTAAATTAATATTTTATCTCTAATAATAACAATAATTATCATTATAAATATAAATATAATATAATATAATATATATAATAGATAATTAATTAATTTACATATTAGACTTTTAAAAAATTTAAAATTATAATTGAGATATCGAATTTTAAAATATAAATTTTTAATTATACTAAAAACTTAAAATTATTAAATATAATTAATAAATTTTTAAAATAAATAATAGAGTAAGATAAATTTAATATTAAATTTTATTTTATTTTTAATTTATATATTATTTTTAAATGAGAATTTAAAAATATAAATTACTACATTTAAAATTATATATTTATAATTTAAAGATGATTATGTTCTAGATCATATTCATTTGTCATGGTCAAGTTAAAAACAAGATCGTGACGTGTGAACAATAACATGACTGCGTTGAAAATAGAACAGTGACTGAGTTGAGAACACTAGCATAAACACAATTACTTTTTTGAATCATCTGATTAAACTAAAATTGATAATTATAATATAAAATGGGCAAAAAAATAATTTTCGCTATAATACTAATACTAATACTAATAATAATAATACATAAAAAAAGAAAAAAAATTGCATGAACACATTTACACAAATGTATATAAGTCACTTTAAATTATTATTATAACAATATAAGCAATGTGATTTAATAAAAATCTATGCGATTGCTATATGGCTTTAGATGACCACATGGATCTGTTATTACAACAATACATGAACATGATTCTTAAACTATTTAAATTAATCTACATTTGAGAAGCGGACGAAAAACTGGAAGAACCACGCTCGTGATACGATCGAAAGTTTCTTGTGTTAGGTGTAAGCCATCCCAAAAAATGTACCTATTTGGATTGGCGCAAAAGGGAACTCCCGGGCTTGCGCAAAACCTATTTTCGTCGAAATTGTACCTCCCTCCAATCCCACAACAAGCTTTCAATGGATTAGTGCCTGTTATAAGATCAAAAGCAAAAATGTCATTTTTTTGTTGATTTTACATTCAAAATATCATATCATATAAAAAAATTACAAAAAATATCTCACACGTACACTTCATTATCACTTTTGTCTAGCATTTATCTCGCTGACAAAATATATCTCACATGTTTACAAAATTCGTTATTTCTATCCTTTGGCCGCGGGTAACACTCACACCACGCTCAGGCAAAGGACATAAATAGCGACTTTTGTAAACATGTGGGATATATTTTGTCAGGGAGATAAATATAGGACAAATGTGATAATAGGGTATAAGTGTGAGATATTTTTTGCAATTTTCTTCATATCATATATATATATATAAATTATAATTTCACATTTTAAGAAATAACAAAAAATGCACAAAAAAGGTAAAATTTATAGAACAATAATAGTGGATTTCATTACTCACCCAAAAGAGCCGTTGTACTGATGATAGTTTGTAGAGGTGTATAAAGGTCGGCAAATAAGATAGTTGCATTAAGGAATTCGAGACTAAGTCTTGTGACGGCTAGATTAAGATCATTGTTTTTTGATATAATAAGATTGTTTACGCTCTTTAAACATCCTAAAGGATCATATGCGGCTAAACTAGAGTTGTCCAATGCTGTTAGAATATACGGGAAGCATCCGAGTGGATTGCTACCCGTTATAACCACTCGTGTGGCGCCCATCTTGATCAACTCCTGTATATGTGTATTGAATATTAAAAATTTTATATTAGCGTCTCAAAGAAACATAGGAGAAATGAAATCAATCATGTGTGAAAAATAACATATATATATATATATATATTTTTTTTTAAAAAAATATTATTAATAAGGTCGATTATTACTCTAGCTGCATCAATGATTGTATTTCTGATTAATGGCACAAAAGCTTTTACTTCTTCGATGGACTTGCCCTGGCTCAATGGATAGCCGATGTCATTACCATCCTCGTATCCGAGTATTACAAGCGAATCTTGAAGAATCTTTGCGCTACAATCTAATGAATTGAAAACTTCACTATAGTTAATACAAATTAGGTTAAACTCGAGTCGAGGGAAAATAATATTTAAATTTACTCTTTTTTTTATTAATGTTGTTTTATCTTTCAATATTTAAATAAATATTAATCATATAGTTCTTCAACTCGAGCTAATCTCAAATATATTCGATTCATTTTGTATTTTATTGCAAATGTGACGAAATTATTCGACAAGGCTTCCTCAAGGGGGCAGTATTGTTAGTGTTGCAATAAACCAGCGTCCAACGTAAGTGGAGGCAAGGGGGCTGCCCCTCACCCTATCCCTTTGGTTTTTTTTTTTTTTTTTCATTAAAAAAGAAAAAATATATATATATTATACAAAAATTAATTAAAATAAATTAAAGGGTTGCCAAACTTTTAATTTTGAATAATTGCTTAATATGATATAAATAAGTGTTTTACTATACTTTAAATGTAAAATCAATTATTAATATAATATTAAAAAATAAAAAATAATAATTTGATTTATTTTTCAGGAGAAAAAGTAAAAAAAAAAAATAGTAATTTTTTTTATTTAAAAAAAAAACTCCAACCAAACAGTAGGAGATTATTTTTTTAAAGAGTAAAATTTTCTTCTACTAAAATTTTTTACTACTTATCCATTTCAAACAATTAAAAAAATGAATGTTGCAATATGTAATTGTTGTAGTAGTTTATTACTTTCTAAGATTTTCAAAATATGACAATAATAAAATTATATGACAAAGAGTCTATTATGTTATTTTATAGTTTTAAAAAATCAGCGCCCTCTCATAAATTTTTAGTTCCGCCACTGCAATAAACCTAATAAACCTGTAGAATTCGAACAAACGGAGTTCAGATACGATCGAATCCACTGCAGCTGAACTTTCAACGGGACGGCGTAAGGTGGAAAATCGACCCCTCTTGACCTAAAAAATTCAAGATCAAGCACGGGACTTCTTGCCACCGCAAAGATAACTCCATTATTTCTAAGCGAGTTATTCGCGGGAAAATAAGGTCTAATATCCGGGAGTTCGAAATCTTGAGCTGCAAAATCATCGATGTTTAATTATTACTACAGAAAAAATAAAATAAAATTGAATACACATATACTCCCTCCGTCCAGTTAGAAAGTATACATATTTCTATTTTGGGATGTCCAATTGTAAAGTAAACATTTCATTAAATACCTCACTTGTTTCCGCAAATACCATTACTTTACGTCACATCATTACTTTTATACCAAAAAGCAAGGACAAAAATGTCATTACACTACTTTTAACTACCCATTGTAATGAACATACTATTATTTTTTAAACACCGCGCCAAAAGTAAATATATACATTGTAAGTGGACGGAGGGAGTATACGGTTGTTCTAAAACAAACTATGAAGATGCGTACCGACAAATTCTGTACTAACACGACCGTCAGACCAGCGGCCGTTTGGCGTGCCCGGAAAGGTAATACCGTAAGGAAACCTCGTTGATGGAATGGAAAGGCCCGGGACAACATTGGCGGAGGTTCCGATGTCGGAGAAACCGTCGCCGAGGAGGAATATACGACTAAATGGGCACTTGGTAGTCATGGATGAAGCTGAATTAACCATAGCCAGCAGAAGAAAAGCTGTGATTTTTAGTGAGGATGAATATTTTCTTACACTGTCGAATTGGATATTCATGGTGGCAGTTGATGTACCAATCAAGAACATTTTATGGTCTTCAAAATTAACAGACAATGAGATTAGATCGTGTGTTAAAAATAATAGTGACTTAGAGGTCTATTTATATGAGAGCTAACATGGTCTGAAAGGGAACATGCTAGTTGGTTAACCTACGACCCACTATAATCTATTTTTATCTTAGTCCGATAATTTTATATTTATTTTAAGGTAAAATTGCTTATAACTCTTCTGTGGTTTCGAAATTCAGCGTACAATCTCCCTATACTTGAAAAATTGCATGGTATCCCCTTATACTTTAAAAAACGTTGCATGAAACCCCACCACCATAAAACTTTCTCGTGTGATAAGAAGATGATTTCTTATCTATATATTTTGCATGGCATGAGATTTTATGTAATATTTTTGAAAGTATAAGTGAGCGTTATGCAATTTTTTAAAATAAAATGGGAATTTATGCTGGGTTTCAAAACCACAAAGTAGTTTCATGCAACATTTTTTAAAGTATAAAGGGACGTCATTTAATTTTTAAAGTAGATGGAGAATTTACGATGAGTTTTGAAACCACAAAGGAATTATGGACAATTTTACCTTATTTTAATTGAGTTAAATTTTAATTAATACAATATTATTAATATATATATATATATATATATATTTTTAAAATATATAAGTGAGTTAATGAGGTAATTTTTCGAATAAATTTAGTGCGTAAATGATCGTGTCCTTGTTATAATTTGGCCAACTTACTAATAAAGAAATATTAACATTATTTTTTTTTTTTTTATAAATAAACAACTCAAATTAAAAATCCAAAAATAAATACACACTCAATATAAAAAAATATGATTGAATAATATTATAATTAATTTATTGGTTATCATGTTGTTATACAAACAATTAAATATTCGAAAATATACAAATATTTAATATATTTCATGAATATGTCCAACAAATAAATATATAAACAAAATTTAAAGGAATGGTTTTAAGTTAAAGAATTTTAAAATATCTATATTCAAATATTATATTAAAAAATATATCTTTAGGTGTTTTTGTTTGTGAGATTTTTGTTTCGGTTCTACTATTTTAAAAATATTGTTTTCAAATATCTAATTAAATATTTATTTTTATTTATAATATTATAATAAAATATAATTTTATTTCAAAATATCATAAATATATATATATATATTTATATTACATTAAATATTCGTTTCTAATTAAAAAAAATTTTATATTTAAAACCAAACCGTCAACTTAAATCTAGCATTATAATAAATGTTTATAAATAATAGAAAACGACAATTCAATTCATTTGATAACATGAAATATATATGTCAAAGACAACACTATATATATAGTAAATTACGAAAATAACTCATTCTTAAGTTTATAATTGTTTATATTAAAAATCCAATATCCGTAAAATATTTATATTTTATTTATTACGTAAAATTCTTTTACGATGAATTAAAATATGCAAAAAAGCACCTTTTTCATTCAAAGTTAATTTTTAATTATGAATATACACTTAATTATACAAATAAAAAAATAAAATATTTTAAATAGTCTTATTTGATAAAATAAATAAATAAATGATCAATTTTTAATTTTATAATTTTTTTTTTTAAGAAAAAGGTGATAGTTCGTTTCAAAACTATTAATAAATGGTTGATAAATTGTTTAATTATTTTTTTATTCAAAAAATAATATTATTTAAGATATTTTATTTGTATAAAATTTGTATAAGTAAGTATACATTTACCGCTGAACTTTAAATTTGAACAAAGAGAGTGTTTTATGCATACTTTAATTTAACATATATTATATATAATATAACATATTTATAATATAATTATTTTGTTATAACACAATATATATATATATATATTGTTTTATATAAAAAGAAATCTATATTATATACTTTTGAACTATATACTAATCAAATCAAATTAGCACAAGAATATTCTAATCTCAAATGGTTAAAGGAAGACTAGACAGTATTGGTTTCAATAAATGTTAATAATAAAAAGTTATTCAATATTTATTAGATATAAAATAAAGTATTAATAATAAACACAATTTCCTTCTGATTGTAAATATTAATACTACCTCCATCTGCGTTTCATTTACTTTTTGCGTGTTGATTTTTTAATATTAGTTATTATATCAAAACATAGTACAAATTAAGAAAAAATTGCAAAAATATTTCAATTAATGTCTTATAATACTAATAGAATGATATTTGTACAAAAATTTATACAAATATAAGAATATTTTTAATATTAAATACAACAACGCAAAAAGTAAATATGACCTTAAAGGCGGATGAATGGAATATATATAACCAAATATGATGTAGTATAACCAATAATTATAATTTTACTTTTTTAAAGATATAAAAAAAATGAAAAAAAAATTCTTTGGTATATTGATCTCATCTACACCAAATTATATATACACTACATTATACATACTCAAATATTAATAAATATATATATATAAATAATATAAAAAACATTAAAAAAATTATAATAATAAATATACTTGAAAACAATAATTGCCTAGTTTGAATAAAAATAACTAAATATTATACTTTAAAATTTTTTATATATTGTATATCGAATATTATAAGAATAAAAAAATTAAATATAAATAATTATAACATTAATTCTTATATATTTAGAATTTTATAGTATAGGAAAAGTAAAATTATGCATTGCATTGAGTTTGTTCATTTTTTTATTTTTGAATGAATATATTTTTTATATTAAATATGAGAAATTTTATTAGTAATACAAAAAATAATATTTTGTATTAAATTTTTGACTATTTGTAAGTGAATAAAAAAATAGTATATATTATATTAATATATATATTGTATTTTTTTATAATATTTATAGAAAAATGTATCATCCAAAAATATTAAGTAAATAAATTAAACACATGTTCTAAATATGAATAATACTATAATGTAACATGTTTTAATTTCATTTTAGTTCATGAATAAATACACCAAAGGATTATCAACCATTGTATCTACTCTTGTGAGGTTAGGTTTAGTTTGACTTAATACAAAATTAGAACATGTTTTAGTATCTCAAATTATTTGGGTTTTGAAATCCAAACAAACATACCCTAGAATAATTAGCCATTACATCTATATTCTTATGAGGTTAGGATTTTTTTGACTTTATACAAAAATTAGAGTATGTTTGTTTAGTATCTCAAGTAAATTTCGTAATAAGTTACACTCCCTCTGTCCAAGACTAAACTTCTTATTTATTTTTTGCATGTTGATAATATTAATTATTATATCAAAATATAGTACAAATTAAGAAAAAATGATAAAAAATACTTCTATAGTGTCTTATAATACTAATATAATGACGTTTATATAAAAAATTATATATATATATAAATATTTTTAATGTTAAATACAATGATGTCAAATGTAAATGTGAAGTTTAATCATGAGATAGCATTTGTTTAAGTTTTGTTATTTGTATTATTTAAAATATATGTTAAAATAATTTAAAAATTATAACTAAATAAATATAGCTGATATAAATTTTATTTTACATAAAAAAAAGTTATATAATAGAAATAAGAAAAATATGTCTACTAATGATTAGTATATAATCAATTTTATAGAACTATGAAGTTTTAGGTGTGTTTACTTTTATAATTTTACATTTGATTTTACTATTATAATTTTTTTTTTCTATAAAAATATTAAATCAAATACCTATTTTTTATTTATTGGTAATTGTACAGTAAGTTATGTGTCTTATGTTTTGCATTGATGGTTTCACGTAGTGCTTGAATTGGATCGAAGTTTGGTGTTGATGATTAAATTAATGACTTTGGATTTGCTATAACAATACACCGGAAATAACAAGTAGCCTTGTAATATTATTTGTTGTTTTCTTACTTTTTTTTAAGATAACGTGAGGATCCGTAGCCGTTATCCGAAGGTGTATACTGGATAAACTCTCAATCGAACATAATATTCTGCAAACTAAGTCCGACAAGACAAGTCACACTAAGTGAATCATGTGTGAAAGATGAACATGTTTTCTTACTTTGTTCAGAGAGGTTATGTATTATGGACTTTTAGAATTGTTATTCCAATCCATTTTGCTTTATTATTTTGATAATGTAAATATTATAGGATTTGAAACAAAATTAACCATTTGAGACGTCCACGAAAATTCAAATTGTTTGAAATTGTTGGGAACTCCCGTTTGCGGAGCTATGATTAATAGTTGCGTTTTTCTAACAGTTCGAGTTTTTAAGTGAAATGATCATTCAGCATCCGGCATGGTATCAGAGTCTGATTAGGTCTTGAGTTCGAGTCTCACAGTCCCAATTTGCGCGCATATGCATTTTTCTATAAAGAATGATGTAAAATATAAAATAATAAAATTTTTGTAAATATATTTATTATATTTATGATTTTTAATAAATTTATTCTATTTTATTTAATTTTAATATAAAAATAAATTAATACTCCTTCCGTCCCAATACAATAGTTCTGTTTACATTTTTATCCGTCCCAAAACAATAATCTCATTTCCATAAATAATCATATCACTATAAAACTACCTTTACTTTTTCATTATTATTACACAATTGCTACTACTTTTTACACTAATACACTCACAAAGGCAAAAGTCTTTTACTCGTACTTTTTACCGCTACTGATATAATATCAATATTCCTTAAATCTCGTGCCAAACACAACCGGACTATAGTTATGAGACAGAGGGAGTAATATTTATGTTTTTTTATTTTATTTTAATAAATATATATTGTTTTACAAATAAAATTAATTATATATAAAATTAATTAATTTAATTTTATAAAAATAAAATTATAACTTAATAAATAATATACTAAAATAAATTATAATTACTGCATTAAAATATATATTTATATGTATGTGAAATAAATAATAATTTTTTAAGGGCAAATAAGAAATAAAAAAAATTAAATTGAAAAAGTTCTTAATTTTTCAGAAATTAACTTTTTTAAGCCAATAAATAAATTAGTTTTTCAACTGATCAAACAATTAAAAACTGTTAAATAAGCTTATTAAAAAAAAAAAAAAAACTGTTTTTCAAACACTTCCCAAATAAGATCATATATTCCATGAAATTTTTACTAATAAAAAAATTCTCAAATATATCAAATTAATTTTTATTTTTATATTATAATAAAAATTAATTTTATATTCAAAATATTACAACACAGCAAACAATTCATTTAAATTTTTATTATTTAAAACCAAAAACTATAAGCTCAAACACACAAACAATTTTTACAGCGAATCCCAAATGGGCCAAGCCTAGCAAATAATATTCAGCCCAAAACCATTCAACCAATTTCAACATCTTGAATATTATATATATCTAAATGGGTTAAACTAACATTTATTCATTTTATTACCTACACATTTATCAAACATATTATTTTGGTGCGACTTTGGTGGGGCTGTTACATACTTGATCTCTAAAATTTAGGAGCTAAAAAATATATACATATAGGACACGTTCACCGTTAATTAATTTACGATGTTTGATTAGTTATATGATATATTTAATAATTGGGTAAACTATTTTTTTAGTCCCGTAATTGCACCTCTTTATCATTTTAGTCCTGTAAGTGGAGCATGTCGCAAACTAGTCTTATATGTGAAAAAATTTCACTGTTTTAGTCCTCCGGCGCTGGAGATGCCCGCATGGCTCGCCGGAGGCCACGTGTCCGCCAGGTCAGCGACATCTGACGGCCACGTGAATTTTATTTTATTTTTTTATTTTTTAATTTATTTTTAAATTTTTTGTTAATTTTTAATTTTATTTATTTGGTTCAATTAAAAAAGAATTAAAAAAACTAAAAAATAAAATCCACGTGTCCGCTAGGTGTTGCTGACCTGGCGGAACACTCGACAGACACGTGGCTTTCGGCGAGCCATGCGGGCGTCTTCGGCGCCGGATGACTAAAACAACGAAAATTTTTCACTTATGTCACTAGTTTGCGACAGGCTCCACTTACGGGACTAAAATGATAAGAGGGTCCAGTTAATAATTTAGATTTGATAAGAGTAATTTAGTAATATTACATATATTTACCACCATATACTGCTAAATAAATATTAATTACGTAATATTTATATTTATAAGTTCTGCTAAATGAACATGAATGTGTTATTTCTATCTATATGAATAAAATTGTTTAAATATTTTAAGTTATGTTACAAAGTAACATTGAATTAATATTAACTATATGATATTTGTATTCATATATGTTGATGATGTGCTATTTGTATTTATATATATATATACTCCCTCCGTTCCGGTTTAAAGTTGTCGTTTACTTTTTGCAAATGGATTTTTAAATATTAGTATTATAATAATTTGTAGTGAAAAAGACGAAAATGCCCCTGTTAGCACTGTGTAATATAAAAATAATGACATTTGTGTAATATAGTGTAAATTAGAAGGGTATTTATTATGTTAGGTAGGTAGTACAATTACTAAATTAGAAAATTGTAATCTTGTCTTAGGACGGACGAAAATGGAAAATGACAACATTTCAATGGGACGGAGGAAATATATTATATGATAGAAGAAAATAAATGACTAAGGTTTCCCTTACTATTATAACAACTATTGTATTACATATAAGAAAATTTTATTACTTAACTTTTATTACGTAAAAACATAATTGCATCTCATATAGGCAATCACTATATCGCTTGAGGTGCCGTAAGACTCAGCTATTATCACCATACATCATCATCATTTTTCGATTGTTCAAATTAATTTGCATTTGAGCAATGGAAGAAAAATTGGAGCAATGATGCGGGTGATCCGTACTTGAGTCTCTTGCGTTAGGTGTAAACCATCCCAAGAGACGGATCTATTTGGATTTGCGCAAACCGGAACTCCCGGGCTCGCGCAAAATCTATTCGGGTCGAAGTTGTACTTTCCTCCAATTCCACAACAAGCTTTTAGTGGATTTGTGCCTGTCACAATCAATCATAAGTCATCAATCGTTTTCAAGAAAAAAGAAAATTATCTACAACGATGGCGATGAAAATGACAAATGAATACAGTACTAGCCTGATAGAGCCGTTGTGCTAATGATAGTTCGTACAGGTGCATAAATGTCGGCGAATAAGATAGTTGCACGAGGGAATTCTAGAGATAGTCTTGTGGTAGCTAGGTTAAGATCATTGTTTCGGGATATAATGAGATTATTAATATTTCTTAGACATCCTGAAAGATCGTAATCAAGAAAGCTAGAGCTGTTGCCCAAGGCTGTGAGGATATATGGGAAGCATCCGAGCGGATTGCTACCTGTTATCACCACTCGTGTTGCGCCCAATTTGATCAACTCCTACATATGAATGTGTGAAGTTTCAAAATATTTGAGTTTTCAATAATTTCAAAGAATGAAGAATGAAAAAAAAAAAAGAAAAAAAGATTACTTGTGTTAAATAATATAAGTATTTTGGATTTATGAATAGTAAAAGTTTGAATCTGAATAGTTGTTTAATGTGATATAAATAGATATTGATGTGATGTTTTGAATGTAAAATAAATTTGTAGTATAATATAAAAAAAGAAATGTAATTGTTTGATTTGAAATTTTTTGAAGAAAAAAAAAATTAAATAGTAAAAACCTGAAGTAAAATCCACAAAAGAACACAAATATTTTGTTTCTAAAGTTTTTGTAAAAGATGGATGATTGATTACTCTTGCGCCTTCTATCGTTGCATTTGTAATGAATGGTATGTAAGTTTCTACTTCTCGAATGGACTTGCCCTGACTCAACGGATAGCCGATATCATTACCATCCTCGTATCCGATTAGTACAACCGAATCTTTAAGAATCTCGGCAATGCAATCTGATGAAACCAAAAGTTTTGTATAGTTAGTGCAAATTAGTATTGCAATAAAGTCGAATCTAGTAGAGTTTTATCTTAGACCATTTTTAATCTATTCTTTTTTTCTAATTTATTTTAAACATTTACAATAAACTTCATTCAATAATTATTTGTTCATATATTAATCTTAAAAATATTTTTCATATATTCAAATGATACAATGATAAAGTATTTAGAAAAAAAAAAATAGAAAATAGAAAACAAATTTTTTTATTAAGAATATTTCAACCTTCGTATTCATTTTATATTGTAGTATTTGTATTTAGTGTAATAATTAATTTATTTTGTATTATATAATATTTTAATTATACAACAATTAAAACTAATGTTATTATATTTATTATAATATGAATATTTATATTTAATTTATAATTTACAAAATGATAAAAAAAAATGTAAAAAATAAATTAAAATATACCAAATAAACAAAGATAAGAAAATAGTCCTTTATTAAAAGTATGTTTGTTCACTCTGTGTTTTTAAATATAATTGATTTTTTTATTATTAGTGATGGAGAATTGTGTTGGTAATATAAAAAATAATATTTTTTTTAATTATTGTTTTTTTATGAATAAAATAAAATATGAAGTATACTATACGTATTATATTAATGAGTATATATTATATTTTTATAATAATATTTATAGGGAATTGTTCCACTTAAACTCTATTTTTGAAGAATTTTTTTATTTTTAGAGACGGTTGGAAATGCCCTAAAACGATTCAAGTTCAATCCAAATTTTACCGAGTATTGAGTATCCTCTTAAAGAGTTTATAACAATATATCATTCTAACTAAGTAACTATTATTAATATTGTAGAGAACCTGTAGAATTCGAACAAACAGAATCGAGATAAGATTGAATCCACTGCAGTTGAACTTTCAATGGAACCGCGAAAGGTGGAAAATCGACGCCTCTGGACTCAAAAAATTCAAGATCGAGAACAGGACTTCGTGCAACTGAAAGGATAACTCCATCATTGTCCCGGGAGTTATTAACTGGCAAATAAGATCGAATATTCGGGAGTCCAAGAGCTCGCGCTACAAATCACCAATATTTAATTAATTATTTGAATAAAAGTCTTATATATTGAAACATGCATATATATATATATATAGTTGTTCTAAAAAAAATTACACTACAAGAAAATATCATTTTTGTAACAAAGTTTTTTCGTCCCTAAATTCATTTTTTCTGTTACTAATGACATTAGAGGTGAAATTAGAGATTGAATTGTGTTAGCTATGTGAACCTTAGAGATGAAATTCCTTTAAAAATATACTATTTTTTTTTTTTTTTTTTTTGTGTTATAGTTCTTACCGACATAGTCGCTATTAACAAGGCCATCAGACCAACGGCCGGTAGGCGTGCCGGGAAAGGTCGAACCATAAGGCAACCTCGACGGTGGAAGAGAAGGGCCCGATGCAAGAACGCGGACAGAGTTTCCGGTGTCGGAGAATCCGTCACCGAGGTGGAAAACATGGCTAAAGGGGCACTTGGTACTCTTGGATGAGGTTGATGTAGCAAGAACAAATATTGTAATAATTAGAAGTGTTGTGATCTTGAGTGAGGATGAATAATATTCTTGGATCTTCATGATATGTCTTAAAAATTATAGGAATGTGAAGGATGAATTATAATGTGGAGTAGAAGGAAATCAAGGGAGATTGTGAATTTATAGAAGTGATTAATGCTATGAAAAGTTGCAATGAATTAAACATAATAATATTTTTATATGTAATTAAATATGTTTCGGAATTATACTTTTTCCGTCCGTAAAAATTATGTAAATTTGTTTGAACATGTAAGTAAAAAATAATAATATTTTAAAATGATAAAGTTATTTAAGTAAAAAGTAAAATGGGGATATTATAAAAAAATAATTATTAAAATTTTGATAAAAAAAAAAAGTAACGATGTAAATAAAAAATATACTGATAAATTTATTATTATTTATTAATATAGGATAATAAAATCTTGGTGTATAAAATTGTTTGTTATAATAAATTAATTAAACATAAGTTTAACGAACATCTAAAAAAAATTAATAGTAATATTAATTTTATTGAACAAACGGAGTATATTTCTATATAATGTAATATTTAAAAATATGTATATTAAATTTAATATTTTTTAAAAAAAAATTGTTAATACTATTAAAATAAAGTTAAAAACACAATTTGGTTGTATTTGTTTGTAAGTTTTTTATATCAAATTTTTACTAATTATAATATTTTTAAAATCAAATCAATACTTTTATTTTTTCATAAATTATATTAAAAATTAATTTATCTTTTAAATAATTGAGATTAAATAACATTGAAACCCTAAAAAAGAATTTTTACAAAATAGTACAAAAACGAAAATCTTGTAAAAAATGAGATATAATCTCGTGTACCTATTCAATATTTCAAACTTGACTTAGGAGTTAGGGGTTAATTTAAATTTAAGGGTAAACCGATTTTTCAGTCCCGTAACTGGACTCCTTTATTATTTTAATCTCGTAAGTGGAGTCTCTCGCTATAAGTGAAAAATTTTCGCCGTTTTAGTCCTCTGGCGCCGGAAACGTCTGTGTGGCTCGCCGGAGGTGACGTGTCTGCCAGGTCAGCGACACCTGGCGGACACGTGGATTTTTTTATTTTTTTTAAAACTTATTTTTAATTTATTTTTAATTTTATTTGCATTTTTTAAAAATTTTTTATTTGGTTCAATTAAAACAAATTAAAAAAAAATTAAAAAAAATGAAAACAAATAAAAATAAATCCACGTGTCCGCTAGGTGTCGCTGACCTGGCGGGACACCTGACTGACACGTCACCTCTGGAGAGCTACGCGGGCGTCTCTGGCGTCGGAGGACTAAAACAACGAAAAATTTTCACTTATGAGACTAGTTTGCGACATGTTCCACTTACGGGACTAAAATGATAAGGGGTCGGTTACCAAAAAAAAAAAAAGAGTTTACCCTAAATTTAATTTATGGTGCTAAATTAGGAGCAGTTGCCATTACATGCATGTACATTTATTTAGGTTAGGTTTTATATTAATTGACTTTAAAAACACAAGAAAAAAGTTGCACCTAAGATGAAATGGAAATTCTATTTAGATCATTTTAATTAGTATAAATTTGTTTCCCATTTAATAAATATTATCAAAATTAAAGTCACGAGTACTTAAACAACTTATAATTAGAAAAATATACAAAATAAAAGTAATAATTATTGTGTATGAGGATAAATAATATTGTACACTTCTTCCTCTATAACAAATTATTAACTCAAATGAAATAGGGTTAAATTTATTTATTTTGTATGTATGGGTGTCACGATTTTTCATAAATATTATTTTAAAAAATAGAATATACATATACATTAACACAATATATAATATATTATACTACATACGTCTAGCTCCAATGGTCTCATTTATTTTTTGCGTGTTAATTTTTAAATATTAATTATTATATCTAAATGTAGTACAAATTAAGAAAAAAATTGCAAAAATAATTCAATTAGTGTCTTATAATACTAATAGAATGACACTTATACAAAAAAAAAATTATACAAATATAAAGATATTTTTAATATCAAATACAATGACGAAAAAAATAAATGTAACCCTTAGAGGCGGACGGAATGAGTATTTTATTTATATACCAATAAATATATTTAATATATAGTTGTACTCAACTTTTATTGACAAACGTTGGTATTAGTTTACTAAATATGTTCACTCTGTCCATTTCTTCAATGTATGGTTTTGGTTTTATATTATTTATCAAATTAATTTTTTCTCAGAAACTACAAAATCAAATCTATTTTTTAAATTTAATATACTATAAAAGAAATTATTTTTCATTTATAATATAACATTTAATATTATTTAAATTTAAATTTTTATTATTCTAATATTTCAAACTCTCACTTTAAAGAAACGGCGGAAGTTTTCTTCTTAATTATTTAAAAGAAAACAAAAAAATAAAAATAAAGAAAGCATCACATAGAACACTATTTTTCACACAAAATTATATCGAATAAGTATTTGCCTAAAAAATATCAAATAAGCAAAAAAAAAAAAAAAAAAAAAAAAAGTGTAACATATTTATTGAATACTGTAAGCATATAGTAAAATTATATTGTAAGTATGTTCCATAAAAAAATATAGTAAGTAAATTAAATAAAATGATTTTGAAATACAAAGTGCAAGATGACTTTTGAAAAGCGAAAAGATGTTATTATATAGTAGTTATATATTAATTACGTAGACGTATAAATATTATTGTATAAATATTAAGTAGAAATATGAATTACAAAATACTATTTGTGGTTAATTAATTTTATCCTCTTCCTATTCATAGAGGTGGAAATTCTTGTATATATGTTCACTCAAAAAAAATAAAAAAATACAAAATACAAAATTTTCGATTAATAATCAAAATGCAATATATACACATATATATATACTTGGATGGTATGTATAATATACTCCCTCCGTCCCACATTGGATATCTAGGTCACTGTAGACACGACATTTTAGGATAAGTATAATTAGTAAATAATTAAGAATGTATTAGTGAAAATAATTATTCTAGAATAGAAATAATTATAAATTAAGATTAAAATAACTCATTAGTTTAACTAAAATTAAAAAATTTAAAATGAGATTAAAGTGCGTAATCATTTTCCAAAAAATGAAAGTGACACGGGATGCGAGAGGGACATAAACGACAATGTGGATATGGTAAGTGAGACGAAGAGAGTATGTTATAAAAAAGTACAGAAATAAAATATTCAACATAAAATATTATTTTTTATATTATTAAAATAAAATAATAAAAAAAAACATATTCAAACTATAAGTACAAAACAAATACACTCATTGTAATCTTAGTCAAGATCAATTGAATGAAAATCATTAAGTATATACTATAACATGCTATCTAATATTTTATATTTTTGGTTACAGAATCTTTTTACTTTAATCATAAAATAAAATTTGTTTGAAAATAGTTGTCTATTACCTCCGTCCAGTTTTAAAGATCCTATTTACTTTTTACATGTTGATTTTTTAATATTAAATACTAAGTGAAAGCAAATAAAGAAAAATGACAAAAAATGCTTATATTAGAGTCTCATAATACTATTATAATGACATTTGTGCATAAATTTATACAAATATAAGGATATTTTTAATGTTAAATACAATTACGCAAAAGGTAAATAAATCCCTTAGAACCGAACAATTAGAGTATATATTAATTATATTAATTCTACACATGGCACTTACGTGTATTTATGGAAAATGACCTAAAGAGCGCTCTGTTTTATTCGTAATTATCACGTACATAATTAAGATAATTGAAAGGACCATAAGATAAATTGATTTAAAATAAACTGTTGATTTGAGTTTTATTTTTTTAATAATATTTTTATTTGATATTTTTGCAAAAATAATAATAATAATAATAATAATAATAATAATAATAATAATATATTTTTATGAAAAATTAAAAATAGTATTCTTTTATATATTATTATTTGAAACAAAAACAAACACACTCTTAGATTATTTTCAAGTATATTACCTCTAAAAACATTATAAAAGTTTCACTTAAAGCTAGGAAGAAAAATGCACTTATCACAATTTAATTGTTAGTTTTATTTGTTGACACAAATTTTCAATTAGTGTATTTGGCTTGAGTTTCAAATGCAAATCACCACTATTTAATTTGTACAAATTTAAATAAAAAGAAAATATTTCTTCTTATGAAATATTATAAAATATTATTTAAATTAAAATTCAAATCGAAATTCTAATATATCTCGAACAAAAAAGAAAACCATACAAACTCTATATTTTTTAGATAGTTTTAGATTTATTTTGCCCTCATGTGTTTGTATTTAGATTGTTTTATATATTTGTGAAAAGTTATATATAATAGTAATTTGTGAAACTAATATTATAAATCTATGATTTTTTTCTGACTATTATTTTACTTGTGTCATATGATTTTACTCTTCTTATAATACGATCTCTTTTGATGACAAAACAAAATTTCAATAAATAAAAAAATAAAAAATAAAGTATTTTAATAGCGTAAAAATAATTATTTTTAAGTAATAGATAGCACATGTGCTATTAGGAGGTGGTAGGAAAGACTTGATAAACTCATTATTTTTCTTTTTTTAATAAAAAAAAAAAAAAGAAATAGGTTTAAAGTTGTTGAATAAGCAAAAACCAATGTGCAGGGTTTTTTTAGAATAGGTCTAGGGTCGTGGACTAGTGTATAGTTCAATGGGTTTGTTAATGGAAGTAAGATCCTAAATGGATGTGTTAATGGAAGTGAGATCCTAAATGGGTCTGAATATAAGCCAAACGGCCCAAGTGTTATTAAGAAATGGGTTTTTTCAGGAGAAACATGTGATTAAGATGAGCCGGCCAATACGAAGGTTGGTTAAAAGAGGAAGTCAGGCGAAGAAAGATGAGACGGAAGATACGGAGGTCAGACAAGAGGAAAGGTCTGTTAATTGGTCGGGCGAAGAAAGGTCTGTTAATTGGTCGCTTAATTAAGCGACCTGTTAATCGTCTGATCGATTGGCCAGTCATTTGGTCAAATAGTAGTTCAGTCGCT